AGTGTATGGCTTGAAGAAACTAGCTTTATAACAACTACTTCCTGTTTGTTCATTCCATTATGTGGAACATGACATCATCACTGTGAAAAGAAACTCAAACAAACTGATGGTAGAATCCCTGTACAACATTGATTTTTATGGGGAGGAGATGATGTTTCCTTATGTTTGTGACCTCTATTATTGGTCTGAGACATGTGACAGTGGGATATACTCTGGAGTGCCAAAGGGTGCCTGTAGAGCAAATAGTGTGCCATTTGCCAACTGTATTTATGGGAGAGAAAAAAGTACAATTTTCCAGTGCTTTTGATGTGCCATCCCCCTGCGTTCAGACTGCAGTTAGCCCCAGCAGAGGACAAAAATTCAAAGCAGCAAATATAGGTCATTCCTTTAGGGGAGGGAGAGGAGTGGATACAATTGTGGCAGAACTAGGAAACACAACTGCGTGGCTTGGCACAGACATGTCAGCCAGCCCTGCTGCTGCTCAATGTCATTTGTTAGACATCATGAGACTTAACATGCGTCACAGTGAGAAGGAATTAATCCACAGACAAATCAACCTTTCAACGTGCATCCATAGGATGAATATACAGCTTCTGAAAAGGGAAGCAAGGAATAAGATGGTGAGGAAGAAGAGAAGAAAAAACAAAACAATCAGAAACATACAAAACAACAAAAAGTCAAACCGTTTTTACAGAAAAAACACAGAGAGCAGAAATGAGGGAGGGTAGATATAAATTAAATGGGAGAGAAACATGGCTATTAATAAGCAAGTGGGGCAGGCAGAGAGGAGAATGGGACCTGGGGCTTTTTCTTTGCAATTCAAAAACAGCCAAACCAGAGCCTTAGCCTACTTAGCATACTCTGCTTGCCTGCACAATAATTCAGCTGGTCTGATGTGATCTACAGCTATTGTATCATGATAAGCCGCACATACAACTTTGATGTGATTTCTTTTGTCTTTTTCCACAGGCCATTATGTCATGGGTTGTATCAGCATTTTCGCCATTGTCTGCATGGGCTGCTGTTTTTTAATAACAGTTTAGTGGCTTATTCATGCAAGTACATACATTATTATTTCCAAGGAATTACTGATGCTTAAATTTGCAAATTAATCTATTGCAGCAAAATCACAGAGTTCTCTCTCTCTGTGTGTAGGGAAGCGGAGGTTGCCAGTCAGCTACATTTATCTGCTAGTGACCATTGCTTCCTAAGATTGTTGACTGGCAATCCCCCTTTCCTTGCCAGTGGTGCATTTTATGTTTCTTTTCTGAAAACCTAAGAGAGAGAAGCTTTGAACATGTTTAAAAGGTTTTTAACTGGGATTTTTAAAATATTGTTTATATTTAATACTGATATTTAAAATATAAAAATATGCAATAATTAATTATTGCATATTTGTATATTTTAAATAGTATGGTGATGCTTTTATGTTAAGCTGCTTAGAGAGCATATCCAGACAGGGGAAAAAACCCGCTTTGGCATGGGTTTTTGTCTCCACACCTCCGCCCAAAACCCGGGCTTTTCCAGAGGGATGTCTAGATGCCCATCAATTTTGCTCCTCTCTCTTCCTCTTGGTGTGTCATTTCTACATGCCAGGAGGACTGTCGGAGCAACTTAGTGGCAGCCTGGTAAGTTTTTTAAATTTTAAGGATTAATTTGGGGAGGGGGGGGCTTCAGGGGAAGGGGTAGGTGCCATCTTGCACTTTTGGGCTCCAGGAGCCCAAAAGTGCAAGATAATAATAATGATAAACTTTATTTAAACCAAGATTATGGCAACAAGAATGATTGACAACTGGAAAATAGAGGGAGAAAATGTGGAGGCCGTGACAGACTTTGTATTTCTAGGCGCAAAGATTACTGCAGATGCAGACTGCGGCCAGGAAATCAGAAGACGCTTACACATGGCAGGGCACAGCTAGTATACATATAATAATTATAACAACAACAACAAAAGAAACAGCCCATGGCTCAAGGACCAGAACTATGCATGACCACCATATTGAGTAACACTTCTTTAGACGTTTCCAGCTCCAGAAATGATTTATTATTATTTATTAACTTTATTTATACCCCACCTTTCTCCCTGCGGGGACTCAAGGCAGCTCACAATCCCACACTTGGTCAAGTTTAAAAAACACAATGCAATTAAAAAAACAATTAAATAGTAAGTGTGGTAAAAGCATATCAAAATACAATAAATACATTTAAAATAGCCTTTAAAACTCATAGCGTTTTGCCAATCCCACCCACACCTCCAAAAGCCTGCCACTTCCCCAAATTCCTGCTGGCAGAAGGTCTTGAAGGTCAGCAGGGATGGGTCCATCCTGGTCTCTCTTGGAAGGGATTTCCACAGTCCCACAGTCTGGGAGCAGCCACCAAAAAGGCTCTCTCCCATGTTCCGGGAAAAAATAAGAATGGATATGTGAGTTTGTGTACATGTTTGTGTACAGGCAGTCCCTGAGTTACAAACATTCAACTTACAAATGACTCATAGTTAAGAATGGGGCTGAGACAACAGGAAGTGAGAGAAATTCACCCCTGAAAGAGTTTTCATGGGGAAAAGTGGTCTCCACTGAAGCTTCATCACCAATCCTTTTTTCCATAACAAGCCAATTTTTTTCAAAACCCAATAATCACAGGGACAGAAAGTGAGGTGAAATCTTTAACAAGCAGGGCTAATAATTAAAGTGTGAGAATGGGGATAGATTGGTATTAGGCCTGGGTAACAACGGAAAAATTTGTTTCTAAAATCGATTCGTTTTTTGGGGTTTTTTGCGTTTCGATATTTAAAAGAATTCCGAATTTTTTTTTAAAAAAAGTTCGATATTTACGAAATTTCGTAAATGGTAAAAAAATTACAAAACAATAACGAAACAATAACGAAACAATAACGAATCGATTCATTAATGGCGGACGCGACCGCGCAATACGCTAAAAAACCTCCAAATGGGACAGGGGGAACTTCTGAAGCTTCCCTCTCCCTCTGTTGTTGACTGCTGGTGTGATATTATAATTTTTTTTCACTAATTAAACAAAAAACAACTATAAAACTTGCCCCAGACATGCGGAAATAATAACGAAACGACCTCAAACCAATAACGAAACGAATACATAACGAAATACGAAGCATTTATGAAACGAATTGAAAAATTCGTTTTGTTTTTAAGTTGCTCCAGAATGGTTCGTTATCGCTTCGTTAAAAAAAATAACGAATTTTTAACGAATTACGAATTAACGAAACGAAACCGCCCAGCCCTAGTGTTAAGACTTCCCTATTCTCTCCAAAGTTTTTTAAAAAAGTATTTGGCTGGAGTCAATCTTGAAAAATGTACTTGTTCCGACTTACATAAACATTCATCTTAAGAAGTCCTACAGAACTTGTTCAGAATTTTGGGACTGTGTGTATAGTTGACCCTCCATATTGTGGGTTTACATTTTGCAGATGTCATTATTCATCAATTTGATTAGTATATCCTTTCTAGGAATCATCCAGGGTGACTCCTAGAAAAAAAATCCAATGGGATTTTGGCCTGCATCAATAGGAGCATAGTGTCTAGATCTAGGGAAGTCATGCTACCCCTCTATTCTGCTTTGGTTAGACCACACCTGGAATATTGTGTCCAATTCTGGGCACCACAATTCAAGAGAGAGATATTGACAAGCTGGAATGTGTCCAGAGGAGGGCGACTAAAATGATCAAGGGTCTGGAGAACAAGCCCTATGAGGAGCGGCTTAAAGAGCTGGGCATGTTTAGCCTGAAGAAGTGAAGGCTGAGAGGAGACATGATAGCCATGTATAAATATGTGAGAGGAAGCCACAGGGAGGAGGGAGCAAGCTTGTTTTCTGCCCCTCTGGAGACTAGGACGCGAACAATGGCTTCAAACTACAAGAAAGGAGATTCCATCTGAACATGAGGAAGAACTTCCTGACTGTGAGAGCTGTTCAGCAGTGGAACTCTCTGCCCTGGAGTGTGGTGGAGGCTCTTTCTTTTAAACAGAGGCTGGATGGCCATCTGTCGGGAGTGCTTTGAATGCGATTTTCCTGCTTCTTGGCAGGGGGTTGGACTGGATGTCAATCTTGAGGTCTCTTCCAACTCTTTGATTCTATGATCTATGATTCTATGAAATCATGAATGTGTCAAATAGTACATAGAAGCTATTCTATGACTCTATGATCAACTGACATTTTTGGGAACTACCTTCACCACTCCACCCGGGAAGTGGATATTTCACATCAGCAATTATTCAGGGACTTTCTTGGTCAACGTTTTTTATTAAAAACAAATTTCATTGTGTTCATAATGGATTGGTTTTTTTTTCTTATTGTTAAATTCCTTTAGTGGTTGAACAAAAAGTGGATTTTTTGTTTTAAATAAACAAATCCTTCTGATTAACTGTCTGAATTTCCAAGGTTAGTTGTTGGGAGGGAAGTTTTTATGGGTGTATGATGTGTTCACATACAGGCACGTCTTCGAGTTCTTTGTTGACTTTTGATTATCGTATTAGTTTCACAGGTTTATTCAAGGTATATTCAGTTTCAAGGTATATTCAGAGGTGTTTTGCCATGGCCTTCCTCTGAATATAGCCAGCTTTGCTTGGTATGACTTGGCAGTTCACCATCCAAGTACTAACCAATCCTGGCTCTGCATAGTTTCCATGATCAGATTGGATCTGGTGCCTTTCAAATATTTAGGCCAAGCAGGGTTATCAATCTCAGGGAAAAATAAAAACTGAAGGTGCTCTATACAGAACTGTGTTTAAAAAAGATGGGATTCTGGGGATGAATATGAAAGGGAACAGGAGTTTTTCTGCGCTATGTAGTAGCTATGTTATCATCTTATGAGAAGAAACACCACTTCTGTCAATCTCAGTTCAATCTAAATCCCTGGGTTTTATGGTGCTCCTATCTTTGCAGCACAATTTGAGAAGCGATTGTCCAAGAGGGAAATAAGTGGACCTTGAACTGCAGATTGACTTCCTGATTTAAAAAAAAGGTTGAGTCAGTCTGGAAAGCTGCAAGAGGGCTCTTCCTTGATGGGAGGAGAGACAGCCGCCTCACTTACATTGTATTGTATTGTGTCTGTGGCTGTAAGTTGCCCTTCCTTGCTTACCACTAAATAAATAAGCCGAAGCCAATTTCTTCCAAAGAAGAGAGGACAACAGAAACATTTCAAAAGGTAAGATATTTAGTAGAAGAAACAATAAACACTGGTGCACAGTGACCCATGTTAGAAGAGTAACTGGCTAATAGTTAACTTAGAAAGCCACTGTCGAACCCTTGGATGAGTGTGCAGCTGGAGAAAAACAGCCTTGCTTAGTGCTCACTTAATGTTGCTTTACAAAACAGCAGAAGTATGTGATATATCCAGGCCTTATAGAATCACAGCAATTTTGTGATATGAGTAATTGTTTTAAAACTGCAGGTTTGCCACTAATGGAAGTATTGCCCTGAGTCTTATCAAATTCCATTGATTTCCTACTGAAATCAACAGAATTTACATCAGTGTTTGGCTACCCATTTAACAAATGAATCAACTCTAATTAAGTCTACCAATGGAATTCAAACCATTTTTTTCCTGTCAAGAGTATTTATGCTCAAGATCTATCAAAGCAACTGCTTGTTTTGGTTAGTTAATTGTTATGCTGCATATGACCCGTGTTTTCAAACCCAAAGATGCCAGAAGATGGTGTGGGGTTAGGGACCAGCATTAAATTTACCATAGTGGCTGAGGTCAAATTCCATCAGTATTACTTAGGTGATCCCTCGTAGTCCGAGGATGATGGTCCTCCAAGTTCGGTGTCCTGGCGGTGGGTCTGTAGGTGACTGTGGAGCCCTATTCTTGATCTGCATCTTCTTCCGCAGTGAGGGCATTGGTTTCCAGGTGAAAGGCGGTCTCGGTTGGGGTTAGCTTGATGTGCCTTCCTTTTGGCATGTTTCTCTCTTTCACCCTCCATTCGTGCCTCTTCAAATTCTGCAGCACTGCTGGTCACAGCTGACCTCCAGCTGGAGCACTCAAGGGCCAGGGCTTCCCAGTTCTCAGTGTCTATGCCAGAGTTTTTGAGTTGGCTTTGAGCCCATCTTTTCCTGTCCACCAGCATTTCGTTTTCCATTCTTCAGTTTGGAGTAGAGCAACTGCTTTGGAAGATGGTGGTTGGGCATCTGGACAACGTGGCCGGTCCAGTGGAGTTGATGGTGGAGGACCATTGCTTCAATGCTGGTGGTCTTTGCTTCTTCCAGCACGCTGACGTTTGTCCGCTTGTCTTCCCAAGAGATTTGCAGGATTTTCCGGAGGCAGCACTGATGGAATCGTTCCAGGAGTTGCATGTGACGTCTGTAGACAGTCCACGTTTCGCAGGCGTACAGCAGGGTTGGGAGGACAATAGCTTTATAAACAAGCCCCTTGGTCTCCCTACGGATGTCCCGGTCCTCAGCATTTTTCCTTCATTCGGAAAAATGCTGCACTCGCAGAGCTCAGGCAGTGTTGTATTTTGGTGTCAATGTTGACTTTGGTGGAGAGGTGGCTGCCAAGGTAGCGGAAATGGTCAACATTTTCAAATGTTACACCATTAAGCTGTATCTCTGGCATTGAAGAGGGGTTGGCTGGTGACTGTTGGAACAGCACTTTGGTTTTCTCGACGTTCAATGACAGGCCGAGCTTCTCGTATGCTTCTGCGAAGGTGTTTAGAGTAGCTTGTAGATCTTCTTTTGAATGTGCACAGGCGATGTTGTCATCAGCATACTGGAGTTCTATAACATCAGTATAGCCAGTACTGGTAGACCCTGTCCTTCAAAGAAAGCACCCGACAACCCTCCATGGGACATTGAACATTGTTGTAGCAATTGAAATATGCCTTAACTGTTGTAAATTTAGATGTTGTATTTTTATTGTATATGTTATGGGGCATTGAATTTTTGGCATGATCTGTGAGCCATTCTGAGTTCTCTTCTGGGTGCGAATGACTGGGTATAAGTATGGTAAATAAATAAATATCCCTCCATGGATTGTTACCTTGTCATGGTAAGGGGGCTTGCGTGTTCCTATGAACCTACGGGCATAAGCACCAGAGTCATGCACTCCCAGGAGGGGCCACAGGGGAGGTTCCAGATCATGCACAATCCAAAGACCCGAAGACCTCAACAGCAGATCAGGAGTAGGATAACATGGTGCATGTTACAACGGCTGTGAAAGCAGAAGAAGGCTGCAACAGATTGAGAAGCCACCATCGTTGTGTTAACCATGTCACTGGTTGGGACCTGACTCTGTGAAGACTGTGTGTTGATTAGCTGTGCACCAACCTCCACACATTTTTTTAAAAAAAACCTCACGCACAGGCATCTTCCAAGAAAAATAAAAACAAACCAACAAAACTCCCAAGGTGATCAGTGAGTGGTGACGGGGGCAGGACTGTGAAATCTGGAAGCTCCTACTCACAGACTGGCACATGGGCGGTGGATATGGATTCAGTCATTCTACCTCAAGGTCCGAGGCAGTTGAGTAGTCCAGCAGCTGTATGACTGAACTGCCCTTTTTAGGATTGACTCTGCTCACCCCACATGGGGAAGGGGCTAGAAAAGGTGCCCTAAACATAGCCTGACTCTCTTATCCCTGACTGAACTGCTGCATCCAGAGGGATCACCACCCTGCGTCCAAAAATGATAGCAGTCATCAGCCAATCCCTCTGCAATGCCAGAAATACAGCTTAATAGTGTAACATTAGAAAATGTCGACCATTTCCACTACCTTGGCAGCCACTTCTTCACAAAAGTAAACAATGACACCTAAATACAACACCGCCTAAGCTCTGTGAGCGCAGCATTTTTTCCGAATGAAGCAGAGAGTGTTTGAGGACCGGGACATCTGTAGGGAGACCAAGGTGCTTTTTTATAAAGCGATGGCCCTCCCAGCCCTGCTATACGCCTGCAAAATGTGGATTGTCTACAGACATCACACACAACTCCTGGAACAATTCCATCAGTGCTGCCTCTGAAAAATCCTGCAAATCTCTTGGGAAGACAGGCGGACAAATGTCAGTGTGTTGGAAGAAGCACCCCTGCATACAGACAACATCAAACACACACCAAGAGGAGGTCATTAGCAACCTCCAGATGGAACAAACACGAAAACTTCCCATCTCATGCACAAGCTGTGGCATGTTCAGCTTTTCACACTACAATTACTCAATTACATCTGCCCCAAGTGTAAACAGATCACTCGCATGGAACACAGGATCCGACAACTCGAGGACCGTATTAAGACCCTTAAGGACATTCAGGAACTTGAGCTGTTCTTAGACACCACACACCACACTGTCCTAGACACGCAGCCCATATCACACCAACATTACGGGGAGGCTCAACAGAACAGCACCTCAGATGTGGACAACCCTCAGGCTTGGAGAAATGTCACCCTTAGAAGGACACATAGGACCCGGAAGCCTCCTCAGAATACTTCTGCTCAGCTGCAGTTACACAATAGATTCCAAATTCTCACACAACTATCACCTGACCAAGAAACACAACATATTGGGGAAGACCAGAATGGCTTAGATACTGATCAGTGGCTCATCCTTGATCAGTGTGCAGGGGATAGCCCTGACTGGGACAACACTTCACAACATTCACACTTGCACAATCGTGCAGGTGTACCATCCCCAACCATAGACCAGGAGCAACAGGAACACATACAGGAGAACCATAGGCTCTTGGACGAATCTCAATGGATTGTCCTTGACGAATGCACCGGGGATGTCGAGGAGGAGGACAACACTTTTCACCTACACAATTCACACCAACAGGATCACTTTTCTGGAGACCTACACACTAAATTGCACAAAAGGGGCCCTGTCATTCCCGAAAGTAAACAGGTCTTGGTAATAGGCGACTCCCTCCTTAGAGGAACGGAAGCTGTCATTTCCAGACCGGATGGGAAGACTCCCTCCTTAGAGGAACGGAAGCTGTCATTTCCAGACCAGATGGGATGGCTCGAGAAATATGCTGCCTACTGGGGGCAAAAATACACCATATCACTCAGAGGCTCACCAGGCTCCTCAAGCCCTATCACCGTCCTCCCCTCATGTTGATTCATGTAGGAACCAATGATACTGCAAGGCATACGTTTCAAAAGATCACAAATGATTTTCGAGCTCTAGGAGCAAAGCTAAAAGAATGTAATGTACAGGTGGTCTTTTCATCCCTCCTCCCTCTTGTAAGACACGGACCCACAAGAGCCAGAAAAATAGTACAGGTCAATGACTGGCTTAGAAAATGGTGTCAGGAGGAACGCTTTGGCTTCCTCGACCATGGCCTGCTTTTCCAGGAGGATGGCCTACTGGCAAGGGATGGGGTGCATCTCACACAAGTAGGAAAACACCTTTTTGCTCACAGACTCGCAAACCTCATTAGGCGCACTTTAAACTAGGTCCACCGGGGGAGGGGGACAACAGCCTTGCGAACACTACTTTACCCATAATGTCTGGGAATCGCCAGAAGGCTAAACGGAGGGCTGCACAAACACAAGGACCAAGTACCAAAAGCACAATAATCCCAATTAAACAGCTCAAGGGAAGATCTCAGGGGCTCACATGTCTTTACACTAATGCACAGAGCATGGGAAATAAACAAGACGAACTCCAACTTTTAGCACAACACCACAAATATGATATCATAGGCATCACTGAAACCTGGTGGGATGACTCCTATCGCTGGAATGTAGATATCGAGGGGTATAACCTCTTTCACAGAAACCGAACAAAGGGGAGAGGAGGCGGAGTAGCCTTATATGTCAAAAACTCTTATGCTGCAGAAGAGAATTCAAGACAGCAATCTGGGAAACCAGCTTGAAATCATCTGGATAAGAATCAAGGGAACTGGGACTCAAAAAGATGTCGTTGTAGGCGTCTACTACAGACCCCCAAGCCAGGAGGAAGAACGTGATGAAGTCTTCTGCCAACAGTTGACCAAACAGGCACAGAGAAGAGATGTAGTAGTCATGGGCGATTTCAACTATCCCGATATTTGCTGGAAAACAAACTCGGCCAAGAGTACAAGATCCAACAAATTCCTCGCTTGCCTTGCAGACAATTTCATGGTCCAGAAGGTAGAAGAGGCAACAAGGGGATTGGCTACTCTTGATCTCATCCTAACAAATGCGGAGGACCTGATTGATACGGTTGAAGTGGTAGGATCCTTAGGGGCAAGTGACCATGTGCTCCTGCAATTTGAGGTACAAAGGAAGGCCGAAACTAAGACAAGTCAAACCCGCATTTTGGACTTTAGGAGAGCTGATTTCCAAAAATGAAGGAAACACTGAGCAGCATTCCTAAAAGACAAGGGAGTTACGGAAGGATGGGAGTTTTTCAAGAGTGAAATACTCAAGGTGCAATTGCAAACAGTGCCAACAAAGAGAAAAAATAAGGCAAGTGCAAAGAAGCCAGAATGGATGTCCAAAGAACTTCTAACTGTGCTAAGACTCAAAAGAGACATGCACAAGAAGTGGAAAAAGGGAGAAATCACCAAAGAATTCAAACAAATAGCCAACACCTGTAGGGAAAAGGTCCACAAGGCTAAAGCAAAAAACGAGCTCAGACTTGCCAGGGACATTAAAAACAATAAAAAGGGCTTCTATTCTTATGTCAGTAGAAAAAGGAAAAACAAGGAGGCGATAGGACCTCTTTGAGGAGAAGATGGGGCAATGCTGACAGGGGATAGGGAAAAGGCAGAACTACTTAATGCCTTCTTTGCCTCGGTCTTCTCACAAAAAGAGAGTCTTCAACCTCAGCAAGATGGAGTGGATGAGGGATTGGAGGACATCCAACCCCAAATTGGGAAAGAAGTCGTCCAGGAATACCTGGCCGCTCTTAATGAGTTCAAGTCCCCAGGGACAGATCAACTACACCCCAGAGTATTGAAGGAACTAGCGGAAGTCATTTCGGAACCATTGGCAACCATCTTTGAGAGTTCTTGGAGAACGGAGAAGTTCCAGCAGATTGGAGGAGGGCCAATGTGGTCCCAATCTTCAAGAAGGGAAAAAAGGATGACCCAAACAACTACCCCCGGTCAGCCTCACGTCAATACCAGGCAAGATTCTGGAAAAGATTGTTAAGGAAGTGGTCTGCAAACACTTAGAAACAAATGCAGTCATTGCTAATAGTTAACATGGATTTATCAAAAACAAGTCATGCCAGACTAATCTGATCTCTTTCTTCGATAGAGCTACAAGCTGGGTAGATGCGGGGAATGCCGTGGATGTAGCGTACCTGCATTTCAGTAAGGCCTTCGACAAGGTCCCCCATGACCTTCTGGCAAACTAACTAGTCCAATCTGGGCTAGGCAAAACTATGGTGAGGTGGATCTGTAATTGGTTAAATGGATGAACCCAGAGGTGCTCACCAATGCTTCCTCTTCATCTTGAAAAGAAGTGACAAGTGGAGTGCCGCAGGGTTCCATCCTGGGCCCGGTCCTGTTCAACATCTTTATTAATGACTTAGATGAAGGGTTAGAAGGCATGCTTATCAAATCTGCAGACGACACCAAATTGAGCGGAATAGCCAATACTCTAGAAGACAGGAGCAGAATTCAAAACCATCTTAACAAATTAGAGAGATGGGCCAAAACTAACAAACTGATAGGCCTGTGCGGTTTCGTTCGTTAATTCGTTAATTCGTTAAACATTCGTTAATTTTTGCATTTACGGTACGATAACAAAACATATTTCCAAACCCGGAAGGGTTTTTAAATATCGAAACGGCAACTCCCACAGTATTTACGAGCTTTCGCCCGTTTTGTAAATGGGGCGGGCGGGGCCTCCGCGCCTCCGCGCGCCATCCAACCGGCCTCCGCGCGCCATCCAATCGGCTCCGGCTCCTGCGCCCTCCTCCTCCTCCTCCTCCTCCTGGCACTTCCTGCAACACAGCTGAGCTGGGAGGAGGAGGAGGAGGAGGAGGGCGCAGGAGCCGGAGCCGATTCGATGGCGCGCGCGCGCTCACCCTTACAACCGGCCTCCGACCCGCCGCCGCCATCCACAGGCTCTTCCCCTTCTCCCCCTTCCCTTCCTCCCTGCTCCTGCGCCCCCCCCCTCCTCCTCCTCCTCCTCCTCCTCCCAGCTGTGTTTCAGGAAGTGTCAGGAGGAGGAGGAGGAGGGCGCAGGAGCCGGAGCCGATTGGATGGCGCGCGGAGGCCGGTTGTCTCTTTAAGGCGCCTCTCCCAGCTGTGTTGCTGCTGCAGGAAGTGCCAGGAGGAGGAGGAGGAGGAGGAGGGCGCAGGAGCCGGAGCCGGAGCGCAGGAGCCGGGGAGGGGATTCCTGCAGCGCCGGCTCTGCCTCCGTGGCCCGCCTGAGATGAGACCAATACCATCTTGAAGGCTGCATCCAGGCTCTTTTGCTGTGAGTTTTCTTTTCAGGGCTGTATGTTGACCATGTTCCAGAAGCATTCTCTCCTGACATTTTGCCCACATCTATGGCAGGCATCCTCAGAGGTCTGTTGGAAACTAGGCAAATGGAGTTTTATCTATGGAATGTCCAGGGTGGGAGAAATGAAAGCCATTCAATGCTAATCAAGGTGACCAACTGCAACATTCACACTTACAAAATGTTTTGTAAATATTTACGAAATTTCGTAAATAACAAAACAATTTTTTGGAAAGTTTTGTAAATATTTTAAATATCGAAACAAAAAAACACCCCAATTACAAATCGATTTTAGAAACAAATTTTTTCTTGATCAAAAAACCTAACAAAATGAAGTTCAACAGTGACAAATGCAAGATACTCCACTTTGGCAGGAAAAACGAAATGCAAAGATACAGAATGGGGAATGCCTGGCTCGAGAGCAGTACGTGTGAAAAAGATCTTGGAGTCCTCGTGGACAACAAGTTAAACATGAGCCAACAATGTGATGTGGCGGCAAAAAAAGCCAATGGGATTTTGGCCTGCATCAATAGGAGCATTGTGTCTAGATCCAGGGAAGTCATGCTACCCCCTCTGTTCCGCTTTGGTTAGACCACATCTGGAATAATTGTGTCCAATTCTGGGCACCACAATTCAAGAGAGATATTGACAAGCTGGAATGTGTCCAGAGGAGGGCGACTAAAATGATCAAGGGTCTGGAGAACAAGCCCTATGAGGAGCGGCTTAAGGAGCTGGGCATGTTTAGCCTGAAGAAGAGAAGCCTGAGAGGAGATATGATAGCCATGTATAAATATGTGAGAGGAAGCCACAGGGAGGAGGGAGCAAGCTTGTTTTCTGCTTCCTTGGAGACTAGGACGCGAACAATGGCTTCAAACTACAAGAGAGGAGATTCCATCTGAACATTAGGAAGAACTTCCTGACTGTGAGAGCCGTTCAGCAGTGGAACTCTCTGCCCCGGAGTGTGGTGGAGGCTCCTTCTTTGGAAGCTTTTAAACAGAGGCTGGATGGCCATCTGTCGGGTGATTTGAATGCAACATTCCTGCTTCTTGGCAGGGGGTTGGACTGGATGGCCCATGAGGTCTCTTCCAACTCTTTGATTCTATGATTCTATGATTGAAACGATGCTCCTACACCATCAACTTCGCTGGACTGGCCACATTGTCCGAATGCTCGATCACTGTCTCCCAAAGCAGTTACTATACTCCCAACTCAAGAACAGGAAACATGTTGGTGGACAGAAAAAGAGATGTAAAGATGGGCTTAAAGCCAACCTTAAAAACTGTGGCATAGTCACCGAGAACTGGGAAGCGTTGGCCCTTAAGCATTCTAACTGGAGGTCAGCTGTGACCAGCAGTGCTGCAGAATTCAAAGAGGCATGAATGGAGAGCAAAAGGGAGAAGCGTGCCAAGAGGAAGGCATGTCAAGCCAAACTCGACCGGGACTGCCTTCCACCTGGAAACCAATGCCCTCACTGCGGGGGAACACCTACGGACCTACCGCCAAGTCATTATATTTGGAAGACCATCATCATTGGGCTATGAGGGATTGCCTAAGAAGAAATAAATAAATATATTGCTATATGCCTTTTTTTTGGAAGATGCAAATTACATTTTGCCCGTCCTGCTTTGTCTGCTTCCCCCCCGCCCCCCAAACCAAAAGACAGGATTTTGTTTTTTTTCTCCCACAAGAGCCAGTGCTTCACCAAACTGCCATGGCTCATAACACTGAGCCATGGCAGTTACAGTAGTGTCAAATTGCATTAATTCCATAGATTAGATGCACCCTAAAGCAATACATTTAGTGATCAGGTGAACTATTAAAATCAAAGTAGGCATCTTCTGTCCCCCACACTCTCCCTCTTTTCAGGTTATTCTCACCGTATTTCTTATTGTTCCACTTTCCCAGCAAAAAGGTCTGCTTTCATACTAAATCAAAGAATCATAGAATCATGGAGTTGTAAGAGATCTTGTAGGCCATTCTGCTGGGTTTTTTTTTTATTTTTAGGTGTGATGAACACTTGTTGGACTGTTAGGTGTATTGTGTCAAAATTTCATATCAATTCATCCAGGTGAACTAGAAATCCCAGCAACTACAACTCCCAAATGTCAAGATTCTATTTTCCCCAAACTCCACCAGTGTTCACATTTGGGCATCTTGAGTATTCGTGTAGAGTTTGGTCCAGACCCATCATTATTTGAGTCCACAGTGCTCTCTGGATGTAGGTGAACTACAACTCCCAAAACTCCACCAAACCCTTCCAGTATTTTCTGTTGATCATGGGAGAACTGTGTGCCAAGTTTGGTTCAGTTCCATCGTTGGTGGGGTTCAGAATGCTCTTTGATTGTAGGTGAACTATAAATCCCAGCAACTACAACTCCCAAACAACAAAATCAATTTTTTTTGAGTGAAGGACATACATTGGGTTGTTGTGTCCAAATTTGGTGTCATTTCGTCCAGTGGTTTTTTAGTTCTGTTAATCCCACAAACGAACATTACATTTTTATTTATATATATATATAGTTTGATTCCTTTTTTGCTCACTTCAGTTTGGTGAAATTTTCTTTTGCAACTCTTTGCTTCAGATAACTTGAAATGCTATCATCATAATATGATGAATGTCATCAAATCATCCCTCTTTCTCTCCTCCACCCAATCTCTCTCTCTCTCTCTCTTTTAGGAAATGGCGCAGAGAAGAGTGCAGAATATGGAAGTCACTACCTGCCTGGATACTCAGAACCCCAAAGACTCTTTTATTTTTAAAATAGTTCTTCTGGGTAGTTCCTCTGTAGGGAAATCAAGCTTAGCCTACCGTTATGTGAAAAAAGACTTCCGGGACTCTCTTCCTACAGTGGGCTGTAAGTGAATTGGCAATGTTGCATTAAAGGAAACAATTTGGCCCATGTCTGAATGTGATAAAAGGACCCAGAATCATTTTGCTTGACACTCACCAGTTCCGCTTTTTCTGTCTTACCTAGAAGATTTCCAGGACAACCATGAATTGGCCCCCTGGGACAAAGGGCACTGTTGCATTTGTAAAAATTGTAGCAACAGAGTGACATACCAATGACAGTCAATACAGTACACACCTAAAACAGGGTCAGTGGAGGGCTGGGAGTGAGCCAGGACCAATCTGCATGTGCTGAGTAGTTTTATTATTTTATTTATCGTGTCAGGGGCAGACTAAACAGTTGCATTGCATTTTTTAACAAACAAACAAACAAACCACAAAGTTTGCAAGCTTGGTAGTTGATTAAATGTCCTTTGACCAGTAGCTGACCACTTGGAGTGCCTCTGGTGTTGCCGCAAGAAGGTCCTCCATGGTGCATGTGGCAGGACTCAGGTTGCATTGCAGCAGGTGGTCCGTAGTTTGCTCTTCTCCACACTCGCATGTCGTGGATTCCACTTTGTAGTCCCATTTCTTAAGGTTGGCTTTGCATCTCGTGGTGCCAGAGCGCAGTCTGTTCAGTGCCTTCCAAGTCGCCCAGTTTTCTGTGTGCCCAAGGGGTAGTCTCTCATTTGGTATCAGCCATTGATCGAGGTTCTGGGTTTGAGCCTGCCACTTTTGGACTCTCGCTTGCTGAGGTGTTCCAGCGAGCGTCTCTGTAGATCTTAGAAAACTATTTCTTGATTTAAGTCATTAACGTGCTGGCTGATATCCAAACAAGGGATGAGCTGGAGATGTCATTGCCTTGGTCCTTTCACTATTCGTTGCTACTTCCCGGCAGATGTCAGGTGGTGCAATACCGGCTAAACAGTGTAATTTCTCCAGTGGTGTAGGGCGCAGACACCCCATAATAATGCGGCATGCCTCATTAAGAGCTACATCCAGTTTTAGTTTGGTGATGTGTTCCACACTGGGCATGAGTGTGACTCACCAAGACAACAACTTATGAAGAATTTATTCTAACGGGGGGGGGGGGGG